GTCTTTTCCAGGAGTCTTTCAGGCCAGCACCGGTTTCCCACCACTGTTGATATTGGTTATGTGAAGATGGCTTATTATGATTATGTTGTCTCGCATTGTGTCTCCCCAGATGACCGGAGGATGCTTGGAGAACTGAGGTCAGAGGGGAGTGGAGCTTTTTTATTGTAGGTGGAGGTGTTTCCTCAGATGGGGAGGAGCCGAGGTCTCTCAGAGTGCTGGCCTGAAAGACTCCTGGAAAAGACGTTACCGTAAGTGTAACTTGGTTTTTTTTTTTTTCTTTTTTTCCATTTTGGATGGATTAAGGGATGGTTATAAACCCCCGTCAGTTTTTTTTTTTTTTTTGCCATCTGTTTTCCATTTGAAAGATTACCCTTCACTTTCTGTCCCATAGCCAAAAACACACGAAGTGAGAAAATATCTACATATTAACCACGTGCCCTCCAGAGGATTTACCCCCCCTTTCTGATCAGACCATTTTTTGCGTTACTTTAACTGACAATTGCGCGGTCTTCCAACGCTGTACATAAATGAAATTTATGTCCCTTTTTCCGCACAAATAGAGCTTTCTTTTGATGGTATTTGATCACCTCTGTGTGTTTTAATTTTTGCGCTATATAAAAAAAAACCATTTTGAAAAAACAAAACAATATTTTTTACTTTTCGGCAGGCATTCTGACACTGGGGTGGGAACTAACTGCTACTGATATTCCCAGTGACAATAATACAGTAGTCAGTGCTGATAAAAAGCACTGACACTGTACTAATGACACTGGTCAGGAAGGGGTTAACATCTGGGGTGATCAAAGGGGTTAACTGTGGGCTGTGTGTGTTTTTTCTATGGAGATGTGCTGCTTTGTATTTCTCTGCTGTGCAGAGATATACAAAGCAGAATGTCCTTGCTGGCAGGAGAGAGACCTGTGTTGTTTACACCCAGATCTTTCCCCTGTCCGCTCTCCCCCCGACGATTGGCGAGTTCTGGCTCTGAATCGCCGGCCGGGACCCGTTAATTGACATCCCTAGCCAATAGAAGCGCGGGTAGGGCAGTGCATGCGCGCCCCCTTCCTGTATACTTGATTTTGCGCAGACCTGCCACCCTGTAGCAGTACTTCTACTGTAGGGCAGCAGGCAAGCGGTTAAAGGAATATTTTGGGGCCCCACAAGTCACCAAAACTAATGTCCTCCTTGGAAGATTTTCCCTCTGTTGCTATTCTGGGGACATCTGACTTTCACTTTCGATGATAACGGTAAACAGAGAAAGTAGACAGTGAATCTCCCAAATGGACAAATTAGCAAAAAAAGCTTATAAGAGTTTTAATCCCTCTCCACTCTATTCAAAACTTTAAAGAAATGTTTTTCCTTTTGGATATAATTTTAAATTCTATTTATATATATATATATATATATATAACAGATTAAAAAAACCTTACATGCCTTATCTTCTTTATTTTATATAGATTTCCTTGTCTGAGTTTGCTTTTCACATTGTACCCTGGCCATGCTACACTCTATGGAGCCCAATGTGAGATTTGTGTGTTTGCACTCCTACTCTGTACTACAACTTTACAATCAGCCACTGCAAGCAGCATGAGAGGGACACACAGACAGCAAAAGCCACACCTCTCCTTGTCCACAGCAATGATTGACTGCAGTGCTCATAGCAGCTGCACAGAGTTGTAGTACAGGACAGGAGAATGCCTGTACAGGAGACTTGTTCGGGGCTCCATAGGTTCTGCGCCACAGTGGGCAGGCAAAGAACTGGAAGTTTGTCAACATGGTCAGGGTGCAGCTTGAAAAGTAAACACAAAGGAAGAAAGTTTATTGTAAAAAAAAAGTTATACCTGCAAGTCATTTTATTTGTATCTGTTTTGTAACTGTAAGTTCAGTTTAAACGAACACAGCAGCTGAGGGGGTTTTACATATGCCGTGGCTACAATGCTTTGCTCTGTGGTTGTAGTAAAAATGATACACCCTGTTGCATTTGACGTGCAGTACCACTGAGCGAAAGGGGCAGCAATTGCTATCAGCAGTGTAAAATTGCCCTAAAGGAGTTATTACCCACCAGCTGTACAGACAGACATGCTTTCCTGAGTTTTGTGGCCACATGAATGCTTGGGGAAAAGTTGTAGGGTCTTTTTTTTTTTTTTTAAGATATTCATTTTGAGATTTATTAGAAACTGTATGTAGCAAATACAAGACAACATTTAAAAGGTGGGTGATCGCATAGCCTTTTTTTATACCCAGTCCTTAAGACAGCCATACACTATATATTGTCTGTACAATCAGGGATGTGTAAATCATATCGCCCGACGCCTGGGGCAGGTGGTTTTTTGCTACATTTAGCCCTGCTGCAGCAGGCTTTACTTTTTTTTTTTACTTTCATAGTTCGCTCAGGCCCAACACAGAGTACAGCTGGCTGCACGCGCATTCACACCACCCTCCTGCACGCTCCCGGGCTTCTTTCACTGGCCTTAAGGAGGAGGCATGCCTCGTGCTCGCACCCACCTGAAGAATGCATGGAGGGGGGGGGAGTAGAGAGAAAGCAAACCAGACCGGAGGATAGATCATTGGCGCAGCCTCAGCTGCAGGATTTTGAGTGGGAGGATGCTTGATCATCTCTGTATGGATTTAGGAGAAGGCGGGGTCACAGGTGTAACGGTGAAAGGTGGGAGGGCCAAAGCTCAGCTTCCCCTCTGCACCTGCGGTGCCTGTAGCTTGTGCCACAGTTCTCTGCTTGGTCTGCATTCCACTCATCAGGCAAGCTTGGCATGGGTACCCCATCTTACCTGTCATCCCTTCCTGTCTGTGCCAGGTCATGTCAGAGGGGTAGATGTTCCTGATTGGCTGTGATAGTCCCAGATTTACTAAATTTAGTCCCTGTGTATGTCAGCCCTGTCCAGTAGCACAGGAGACCCTTTCCTTCTGATATATTCTGGGCCTCTTTTAATCCTTTTAACTGGAGAAAAATTATTTGTTATCTAAATAAAGTCATTGCAGAGAAATGCTCCTTGATGCCACATGACAGCATTGAACAGGTTAGGATGAGCCCAGCAGTAAAGTGTCCTTTTAAAATGTTAGCAGCTATGCAGTGCCATCATGGCAGAAAGTGCAGGGCCTTTTAAATCTTCCGGGCCAATGCATGATATCGGATTTCAACTACACTGGTGACCGAAGTGCTGGATTAAAGGTCCGGCTTTAAAGAGAAAAACAAAATTCATATTTACCTGCTTTGTGCAGTGGTTTTGAACAGAACAGTGCCTATCCTCTTCTTCTCAGGTCCCCTGCTGGCACACCTGGCTCCTCCCCCTTGACCAATTCCCCAAAGCAAGCTGCTTGCTATGGGGGCACTGGTGCATGCTTGCAAAAGACACATAGCCATGGCTCTGCCTCGCCCCCACTCTCTCCTCATTGACTCACTGGCTGTGATCGACAGGAGTGAGATCCAATGGCTCCCACTGCTGTCTCAGCCAATGAGGGGAAGGAGTCCCATGACAGCCATCCCCAGGAGCGGTGCTGGAGATGGGGAGGTGAGGAGGAGATAACTGTTAATGTTTTTAACATTGCACTGTTTAAGTCGCCATAAAGCCCCTTTTCGTTTTTTAAAAGCCCCAGACATTCCTTATCAAGACAAGTAATTGTCATGAGGGACAAGTAGATTGGGACCCTGATTAAGTCCCTTGGACAAGTAGTTTTTTAAAAAATTTCCACACCCCTGTAAACAATCTCATAAACCTCCTTTTAGCTTTAACAAAACTACGTAAATGTAGACAAATCAAAACAATCCTTATATTTGATAATAAATCAGGCAGGTCCTTATACTTCATAGTTGATAGATCTAAAAGATTTTGTATATCCAGATTGTATAGTGTATAGTCCGTTTTTAGATGTGGTGGATGCATTAGTAGTGTTCTTTCCTGTATTTTTACTTGGAGATCCTATCAGTAACACACATCCTGTCTTAGGGTGACCATACAAATTTGCTGTACTCTATGGAGAAGGTTCCACTTTAGGGTTTGGGCTACAAATGTCTCCCTCTCTCCTCATCTCCAATTAATAGGGAGGAGTTGTTGTGTAGGTCACCAGAGAGAGCTAGTAAGGAGGATAATGTTGATGGAAATTACAAGGACACTGCATTTCTGACCAGTGTGGTTTATGATCTGCAAGTTGTCAAGAATATACTCCATTTGGCCTATCCAAGGATGGAGATGTGAGAAGATCTTGTCCATAGGATTTGATGAATGTTGCATGACTGTAATTTCGATATGTATTTTACTGGTGTGCCAGTGCACTTCTATTTTTTTTTTAATAGCAGTTTTTCAAGATTTTCTGGCTCTTAAGAGAGCTGCAAAGCCATGCTCAGTTTTATGACATCATGTGATTTGGACCGTGAATAAGGAGATCAAAATGCAGAACGGGTTTTTGATCACTTACGGTGCCAGTTATTTAGCCAGGCTTTGGGGGTGACGCTTCTGGCATACAGGTATGGTGTTTAGAGCCAGTTCACACCAGAATCACTCAGGAACACCGTTCACATTCCTGTGCGATTCCTGCATGTTCCCCTACAGTGTGATTTATTTGCTATTTGTTGAATGGTCTGCAAATCGCACCAGAATGCACAAAAAGAGGTGCTTTTTATAAAAGTGCTCTGTGTTTGGGGTGCCCTTATCAATGTATTGGTACTTGCAGCAGCAGTTCTGGTGTGAATTAGTCCTAAAACCAAGCAAAATGTTTCTAAGCTGCATAGTGCTTTTTAACCTTTTGGGACCTCTGACTGTGTAATCAGTTTTTGTTTTCAAAAGGTAAATGTAGCTTTAAATGCTGTATGTATGGATATTTAGATTTGCTACACCCATGTTTTCTATGTTAATGGTATACTGTGTGAACAATGTTAGTCTGAACACTGCTTGCAGATGTATAGTTTTATAAAAAAATATAGGTAGGATCTTTTGAAAATAAACCCATAGCTTAATTTCTCGTTCTTATACATAGTTTTTCTTTTGCAGATGCAGTCAACATCAACAGATGACTTCATAGGAGCTAGCAGCTCTAAAGCTGGCTCCAGGAAATCACACAATAAAGGATCCCCAACAGACGTTTCTCCAGACTCAAAGTGTCCCATATGTCTGGATCGCTTTGAAAACATATCGCACTTGGACCGATGCCTCCATAGGTTTTGCTTTAAATGTATAAAGGAGTGGGCAAAAAACAAAGCAGAATGTCCACTATGCAAGCAGCCCTTTCATTCTATATTTCATAGTGTGCGAGCTGAGGATGATTTCAAAGAATACTTTTTGCGTCCCACTTTAAATGGCTCTTTTGCCAGTCCAGATGGGCAGAGATTTCGCTATCGTACTACTATGACAAGGGACAATCACTTGCCCATGCGAACGTTAAGATCTTCTGCACACAGAACATTTTCTCCTCCAGACAATGGTGTTCTATTTGAGGGATATACAAACAGACAATCTCATCAAAGGGGCAGCAATATTCAGCAGATGATGAGAAGACTAGCTTCCAGGCGACAAGCCAGTGCAGAGGGAAGGACAATGAGACAAATTCAAGAGCAGGAGCTTGTAAACTTCAGGAGAGCACTTTACCGTTCTGGAATACGTGTCAGGAATATTCAGGATGGAGGACGATATCGTGATATATCTGCTGAATTCTTCCGCAGAAATCCTGCTTGCCTTCATCGACTTGTACCCTGGCTTAAGAGGGAATTGACAGTGTTATTTGGCACACACGGTTCCCTTGTTAACATTGTGCAGCACATCATTATGAGCAATGTTACTCGATTTGACATGGAAAGTCAAGCCTTCTTAGAGGATTTGCAGCCTTTTCTACTTCACCGTACAGAACACTTTCTTCATGAATTCATCAATTTTGCTCGCTGCCCATATAATATTGATGTATATGACCAGCATGCCAACTATGATTGTCCTGCACCTTCATATGAAGAAGGTAGTGAATCGGAATCTTCTGTAATTACTATATCCCCAGATGAAGTTAATATCAGGGAGCCTGATGTGCCTTCCTCTTCTGTTGAAGTTGGTCAAGCTCCCTGGGATGATGAAACACCTGGACCTTCCTATTCCACAGTGGAGCAGGCAACTAGTAGTATGTTAACTACTGTAGATAGTTCAGATGAGGAACCTTCAAGTAGTAGACTGGATTGCACCAGTATGAATAAAGAAGATACTGATGATATTCAGAGCCAGAGCATTCCTTCTGATGACTGTATTATAGTGGGTTATGTTAAACCACTTGCAGAAAGAACCCCAGAGTTAGTTGAACTTTCTTCTGATTCAGAACCTTCCCTTTGTGAAGTGAAGATTGAGCAACCTAAAAAACCCCAAGAAAGACCTTTTACTTTATATGACAGTAGTGAGTCACATAGGTCTTTCTCTTCTTCATCTCGATCAAGTGATAAGCGATCACGCAAAACTAAACATAAACATAAAACATCCAGTGACAAATCTCGTTCAAAAAAGAAAAAAGAGAAAAGATCAACTGAGGCATCTTCTAGAAGATTGTTCGAATCCAGAAAAGATGAAAAACATTCTTACAATGACGGCACATCAAGATGGCGGGAACGTTCTTTGAGTTCTGATTGTTATTCTCGTTCATCTCGCAATAAGGCTTATGACAGTCACAAAAAATGGCACAGTAAAAACAAACAAACGAAAACTCGAGAAAAGAGGCATAAAAGTTGGAGAGAAAGGAGGAAATCGCGTAGTAGAGAGAGAAGTTTATCTTGGAGGAGTAGAACTGTTTCTTTGTCAAGTGAAAGCTCCAGAGAGCGAAATGGATCTAGCTCTAGAAATAGTAAGCGTAACAGAGGGAGGTCACAAAGTCGTGACACTGACAATACAGACAACTATCGCAGTACTTATCATTGGGAGTATACATACTATAGCAGAAACCACGATAGAGAAGAGTTTCAGAAGTCCTATAAAAGACATTCTCGTGGTAGAGGTCTTTGCTCTAGATATTCTGACAGTCCTGAATACCATTTGCAGACATTTTCTCAAAGGAAAGAATCTAGAAAGCACAGAGAAACTATTGCTGATAAGCACCATCATCAATCAAGAAGTCGATCAAACAGTTGTGCTACTACAACTGGTGCACTGCAAACCCAGTCTGACAAACCCAGTGGTAAGAGGAAATATAAAACCCGACATCTGGAGCCACAGAACAAAAACAAGAACAACTGTGAGACAGAGGTGGCGAGTGGAAAAGAGGCTCATACACAGACGACGTTAAGAGACTTGGAGGATAGTTTGATGGATAAGTCCTCAAATGAACGGAAGCTTAAATGGAAGAAAAGGGCAAGGAGCCCTAGTGTGGAGATTGTGTATGAAGGAAAAAGCACACAAGATGCCAAACATAAAAAGAAAAAGAAAAAACACAAGAAGAAAACACAGACATGAAAAGAGTTCTCCAGTCGTCATCAGAATTGACAGTGATAGTGACACTCCAGTGAAACTTGATGTGCAGAGCAGTAATGATGTTGATACACTGACTGGTAAATGTAACAGCATGGAGTCTAATATGGCTCTGCTCAATGACTCACCAAGTACTTCTACACCTGGTAACACCATGGACAGAGATTGTGTGGAAGTCTCAAGCCCTTATTCCAAAGCTTGCAATCTGCCATCAGTTAATGAATATCTTGACACTGCCTCAGATATACTTGATGGATTATTTTTTGGTGAAAGTTTGGATGGAGAAGCTTTTCTGCCAGCACCCAGTCCACCTAAAACGCCTTCTCTTGATGAAACTTTAGTGACTGGGCTTCCCACATCTAATTCCAAATTGCTGCAGGACAGAGAGGCTTCTACTACACCCCCTATAACAGCCTCACAAGAAACTCCTGCTGGGAAGTCACAAGAAGTATTTCCGGAGACTGTCTGTGAACATTTACAAAATATGCCTTCTATTGCACCACCTCTAATGGCCTCTGAAGAAAGTATGGCAGAGAACTTGCAAGATACATTTGGCGAGACTGCCTGTGAACATTTGGAAGATATGGTAGAACATCTTTCTCCAACAATATTATGAGAATTTGTTCATATGTTAAATCTGTGTTCTTTTTTTAACTTAAAGTTTAGCTTTCATTTTAACATTGTAATACATTATGAAGGCTATAAAAACAGTCCCCCTTTTTGATGTGTTTTGTCTTTCTATTTGAGCCATGCATATCTGTTTCAATTCCAATTTATTTATGGGCAAATTAGTTACCAAAAAAAAGTTATATATAGGCAAACGAGGCAGCCATTTCCAATTTGAAATAGTTTTGCAGCAGTACTGGTGTGTTTGTAAGCATACAATGTTTCTTGCCCACAGACATTCATTAAAAGGCACAGGGAAAACCAGTAGCAATGACTGTAGAAGCCTTCCAGGATTCTGGTTATTTTATGTATAGCCCACAAAAATAGTAAAGCGCTTGGAAATAGAATAGTTTGTTGTGAGTGGAACTTATCGCTCTTTATTCATTGCAAGAACAGGATATGTTATTCTTTGGAATAGGATCTATGGCGCAGGGTTTTTTTTTTTTTTATTGTAAACATTTACCACAGCCTCTACAAAAACACCAGGACTATCCCTGCCCTCAAATGACTACTGTTTGATGATTTGTTGCTCAGACACCCATGTTTGCATCACAGGATAAAAGTGAGTGGGTCAAATGTTCTCCCTAGAAGTGCTAATATTTCTATTTGCTTGTATTGGGAGAGGTATGAGTATGTATGTTTGCCGCTGGAGGTAGGCATTGAAAGGTTTTTGTTTGTTTTTTATGTGTTTTTTTTTTTTTTTTTTTTTTGTATTTGCATAAGCAAACCACAGGTTTACTTGAAAGCAAATCTTACCAAAGTTGAAGGCTACCATTTCTGACCTTAAAAGCATTAGTAGATTAGAAAAGTCAAAACTCGTAATGCATACTGTTTGAGGACAGTGACTCAAATCATTAAAACCATAAAGTAGCCATTACAGCCAGGCAACTAACCTTTGCACTATATTGCACTATTAAGGCTTTATCGTTCCTCAAAACATTAAAGAGTAACTCCACTTTTGTTGAAAGAAGAAAAACAATCCCCTCTGGGTAATCAATGTACATTGCAGTTATTTTAACAAACTTTGTTGCAGAGTGAATGTGAATGGGAGTGGCTTTTTCATTATTGATCACCTTGTGAACTTGCAGGGTTCTAATGAGGAAGATGCAGTGTCTGCATCCTTTTAGACATGATTAACCCTTTGGGAGCATCTCGCCAAAACTTAAATTTTTAGTTGTAAAGGATGCCTCAAATCTGACTTCTTAGTGCAGACCTCAAGCAGGAAATTACATTTGCGTGGGTGTTTTTTACACCAGTGGTGTACAAAAGAAAACTACAGCAGTTGCAGATGGAAAAGGAAAAATATTTTTTTTGATTCCGATATGGCTTGTGTAGCAATTGTATATGATCTAGAAATATATAAATATATCCCCCCCCCCCCACAAAAGTGGAGTTTTTTTTTTTTAAAGAGCGTTATAATTGGGTAGTAGATCATTGTGTGTGCATAGGAGCAAAACACATCTCTGACATCAAACATATCTTGGGGAAAGATTAAAATTGGTAATGAATTGGGTATACCAATGAAGATATTTTGGTTTGGGTCTAAGTAGCTCCTTTTTTTTTTTTTTTTTTATTTTGTTGTTTTGTACATTTAGCTGGTTTTGTAAGGACATTAGCCTACACCAACTTTTAACCAAACAATATCTTCCAAAGCTGAGTTCAATATTGTGGGTTTCAATTATTTTGGTGGAATTGTCTGACTTTATTTAATTTTGTTCTCAACTTCTTTAGTAGAAGTACTTAGTTTGTTTTTTTTTTTTTGCAGTAATTCACCTAGCAATGTGATCTAATCCTGGGTACACACAATCCAAATATCGGTCGGTTCAGCATGAACCAGCTAACATTTGGACAATGTGTACAGCTGCCTGTCTGACAGAATCTGGTCCAAGGACTGACTTTGGTTAAAGGGACATGCTGGAAAACCAGCAGCCTATCAGCGCTGGCAGCCAGTGGCTGTGAACTCTGATCAGTGTGTGTGTTAGGGGGGCGGGAGGTGTTGGGCAGTTCCCCTGTCCGAACACAATAGCTCAGCGGTGGAGATTGCCGCACCAACATCGCTTAGTATGGCAACCTCCTTTCTTACTTTTTTTTTTTTTCCTTCTCCATTCACGGCTGCTGGGTTGAACAAAAAACCTTAACATACGTACTAGGCTTAAGTCACAACAATTGACAAACACAATGTGCTGAAGCTGATAATACGCAATCGATTCTAATTTCTCTTGTCTTTATTGAACACACCCATTAAACATTCCCAGTGTTGGAGGTAAAAGTACGTGACCACATATGCTAAATTCTTCAATGAAAACGAATTGGAGTCAGTTATTTGCATACCTAAAGTACAATTAATGAAATGAGTTTGAAGGTGTGGCTTAGAGCTAATTTGACACTCAAAATATTTAAAAGTGTTGTTCATAAGAAGCATCAACTGATGTGAACCATGCCTCACAATAAAGGAGTTCTTTGAAGATATATGGTCAAGTGTAGTTGATGTACATACAGGTGAAACTCGAAAAATTAGAATATCACCTGCTGGTGTTGGTCCACTGTGCTTCATTAAGTCCAGGGTCAACGCAGCCATCTACCAGGAGATTTTGGAGCACTTCATGCTTCCTTCCGCAGTCGAGCTTTATGGGGATGCTGACTTCATTTTCCAGCAGGACTTGGTACCTGCCCACACTGCCAAGAGCACCAAAACCTGGTTCAATGAACATGGGATTACAGTGCTTGATTGGCCAGCAAACTCGCCTGACCTGAACCCCATAGAGAATCTATGGGGCATTGCCAAGAGAAAGATGAGAGACATGAGACCGAACAATGCAGAAGAGCTGAAGGCCGCTATTGAAGCATCCTGGTCTTCCATAACACCTCAGCAGTGCCACAGGCTGATAGCTTCCATGCCACGCCGCATTGAGGCAGTAATTGCTGCAAAAGGGGCCCAAACCAAGTACTGAGTACATATGCATGCTTCTACTTTTCAGAGGTCGGATATTGTTCTATGTACAATCCTTGTTTTATTGATTGCATGTAATATTCTAATTTTCTGAGATTGTGAATTTGGGGTTTTCATGAGCTGTAAGCCATAATCATCACAATTATGACATCATGGCTTTGACTATCTTGCTTTGCATGTAATGAGTCTATCTTATATATTAGTTTCACCTTTTAAGTTGCATTACTGAAATAAATGAACTTTTGCACGATATTCTAATTTTGAGTTTCACCTGTACAGTGAAGGAAATAAGTATTTGATCCCCTGCTGATTTTGAATGTTTGCCCACTCACAAAGAAATGATCAGTCTAAAAATCTAATGGTAGGCGTATTGTAACACTGAGAGACAGAATGGCAACAAAAAATTCAAAAGAAGTGCATGTCTAAACAAATTATACACTGATTTGCATGTTCATGAGAGAAATAAGTATTTGTTCCCCTTCACAAAACATGACTTAGCACTTGGGGGCAAATCCTTTGTTGGCAATCACAGAGGTCAGACATTTCCTGTAGTAGGGAAGTGGCAGCAGAGGAGGGCTCCGGTGGGAGCCATTTACATCTGCAGAGAGGCCTTTTTTCATTCATGTGTGGCAATACTATCAAGTGGCGAGGGGCTCTTGACCAGATCTGACCAGACCCATATGAGGACCCTAGGATCTTCTGAGAATATCTGCTTTGAATGCGCATTTGGATTGCGTATCTGGTGAGTGCGCAATCTTTATACATTTATCACCTCACCCACGAATCCAGCCATTGGGGTTCTTTGAAGATTCTCTTGGGATCTTTCTTGATCACGTTATGGACTATGCTTATTATCTATAGTCATCTTTATTGCACTTTATTTGCACCTTAATACTGTTTTACATGAATGTGTATATATATACTCTAAGCACATTAAGTTAGCGCTGCACCTCCCCTTTATGTATTCTGATTTCCTGTAGTTGGCCACCAGGTTTGCACACATTTCAGGAGGGATTTTTTTTTCCCACTCCTCTTGGCAGATCCTCTCCAAGTCATTAAGGTTTGGTGGCTGACATTTGGCAACTTGAACTTTCAGCTCCCTCCACAGATTTTCAATCGGATTAAGGTATGGAGATGGACTAGGCCACTCCAGGACCTTTAATGATGTGCTTTTTGAGCCACTCCTTTGTTGCCTTGGCCATGTGTTTTGGGTCATTGTCATGCTGGAACACCCATCCACGACCCATTTTCAATGCCCTGGCTGAGGGAAGAAGGTTCTGACCCAAGATATAACGGTACATTGCCCCGTCCATCATCCCTTTTAATGTGGTGCAGTTGTCCAGTTCCCTTAGCAGAAAAACACCCCCAAAGCAAAATGTTTCCACCACCATGTTTGACAGTTGGGATGGTGTTCTTGGGGTCATATGCAGCATTCCTCCTCCTCCAAACACGGCGAGTTGAGTTGATGCCAAAGAGCTCGATTTTGGTCTCATCTGACCACAACACTTTCAACCAGTTCTCCTCTCCATCAATCAGATGGTCAGTGGCAAACTTCAGACGGCCCTGGATATGTGCTTTCTTGAGCAGGGGGACCTTGCAGGCACTACAGGATTTCAATCCTTGTCAGCGTAGTGTGTTACCAATTGTGTTCTTGGTGATTGGTCCCAGCTGCCTGGAGATCATTGAAAAGATCCTCATGTGTAGTTCTGGGATGATTCCTCACTGTTCTCATGATCATTGACACTCCGCGAGGTGAGATCTTGCATGGTGGACCAGACCTAGGGAGACTCACAGTTGTTTTGTGTTTCTTCCATTTGCAAATGAGTGTACCAACTGTTGTCACCTTCTCACCAAGCTGTTTGGCAATAGTTTGGTAGCCCAGTCCAGCCTTGTCTATGTCTACAATCTTGTCCCTGACATGATTGGACAGCTCTTTGGTCTTTGCCATGGTGGAGAGTTTGGAATCTGCTTGTTTGAGTGCTCCTGTGGATAGGTGTCTT